AGACCCTGAAAGGTCTTCCAGGGAAAGGTAGTGTGGTGTAGTGGTTAGATGCAAGGCTTCTGTAGGTAGACAGATTTGATCCTGTCTCTACTACTCACTGTTTGGCCTTGGATAAGCCACTTAATTTTTGCCTTAATTTGTGCCTCAGTTTATTCATGTGAAAAAGGGGCATAATGTTAATAATTGTCATACCCTATATTGTGTATATATATATATATATATATATATATATAATGTTTGGAACAATGTCTAGCACACAGGAAAGTTCTGTATAACTGTTCACTATTATTATTATGGTCAAGCTGAAGAGTTCTGACTTATGAGTTCATATCTTATAAGTGACAAGGAGCCACAGACAGATTGCAACGAGGGCATGGCATGATCTGAAAGAAATCTCCTTCTGTACCCAAGACCAGGTTAGAATCTAAGAATCAGATAAAAACACTAGGAAAAAGAAAGTGATATATATAGATATAGATATAGATTCAAATGTGTGTGTGTGTGTATATGTGTGTATATATATATACACACATATACACACACACACACATTTGAAACAGAGTCTTGCTCTGTCACCTGGGCTAAAGTTCTGTGGCATCAGCCTGGTTGACAGCAACCTCCAACTCCTGGTTCAAGTGATTCTCCTGCCTCAGCCTCCCGAGTAGCTGGCAGTACGGGCATGGGCCACCACACCTGGCTAATTTTTCTACTTTTTTTTTTTTTTTTTTTTGAGACAGAGTCTCACTCTGTTGCCTGGGCTAGAGTGCTATGTGTCAGCTTAGCTCACTGCAACCTCAAACTCCTGGGCTCAAGCAATCCTGCTGCCTCAGCCTCCTGAGTAGCTGGGACTACAGGCATGCACCACCATGCCCGGCTAATTTTTTCTATATATACTTTTTCTGTTTTTTTTGAGACAGAGTCTTGCTCTGTTGCCTGGGCTAGAGTGCTGTGGCATTAGCCTACCTCACTGCAACCTCAAACTCCTGGGCTCAAGTGATCCTCCTGCGTCAGCCTCCCGAGTAGCTGGGATTACAGGCATGTGCCACTATGCCTGGCTGATTTTTTCTATTTTTAGTTGTTTGGCTAATTTCTTTCTATTTATAGTAAAGACAGGGTCTCACTCTTGTTCAGGCTAGTCTCGAACTCCTGAACTCAACTGATCCTCCTGCCTCAGCCTCCCAGAGTGCTAGGATTACAGGCGCGAGCCACCGTGCCCGGCCTTTATATATACTTTTAATTGTCTAGCTAATTTCTTTCTATTTTTAGTAGAGACAAGGGTCTCACTCTTGCTCAGGCTGGTCTTGAACGCCTGGCCTCAAGTCATCCTCCTGTCTTAGCCTCCCAGAGTGCTAGTATTATAGGCCACAGCGTTTGGCTGAAAGTACTAGATATTGCAGAGAGGTCTGAGGAAGAGAGAAAGGGCCTTGGGCCTTGGCAGCTAGTAGGTCCTGGGTGAGCTCTGAGAGGGCTTCCAGAGAGTGTTGGGAATGGAAGGTGGAGTGCAAGGGCTTGGGAAGCTCATGGGTGCCAAGAAAATAGAGGCCTTGTGCATCTGCTCTTTGAATATTTTGGCCATGTGGGGTGAAAGAGAGAGAGAGAAAAAGAGAGAGAGGATGGTCATTAAAGGGTGGCAGGGTAGGATGGTCTAAAGTAGGAGAAAAGAAAAAAGAAGGAGGATAGAAGACAGTATGGAGACATTTAGAGCAGAGGTACCCTCAGTGGACCCTGGAAGCCCCTGAAATTATAGGCAAAATGTTGTGGATATGAATTAGAGTATTAAGGCCATTGATTTGCAAGTGGGGAGGGTGGAGGCTGAGCTGATCTGGATTTTGGCAGGGAAGCAAGCAAGAGGTAGGCTCATCTGTGGAAAAAGAACCAGATGAACATGAGGTTGGGAAATTGAGAAGGTTGGTAGACATTTGGAATAGTTGAGAAAACATAACATAGGAGTCAAATAGAAGCAAAGAGAAGGTTTGCCTTGTATCAGCAAGGGCCCAGCTGAGACAGTGTAGCATCTATTTGTTGTAGAAATAGCAAGCTTGTTTTCTGACCTTGCTCTAGCACCACTTGGCAGGTGGCAACTAGAGAATGTGGATGGAGTAAAGGTTTTGGGGTGCCAGTGAAGCACCCATAAAATGGCCAACCATAAGACCCAGGCTGAATAAGGAGTTCAATGAAACCATGAGAGGATTGTAGTGTTAGAGAGAGGCTGAAGAAAAGAAAGGCACAGTGGGAGAAAAGCTACAGGTAGAGGGGAAAGGGGGAGGGGAAGAGCCCCAAAGATAGTCTAAGCTGTTCAACATCTTTGTGGGAGAATAGCTGTAGGCAATGATGGAGACCAAGATAGGGGCACGCCTGAAGTGAACAGTGGAAGGTCTTAGCTTATGTGTTGTGATTATGCAGGTGTTGTCTAGATTTAACTTCAAAGCTCATTAAAGAAAATTAACCAGGAAGCATCGTGTGGATGAGAAGGGAAGAGACAGATAATGTGGTATAAGGAAGCTAAATTCTCATTTCCCATAACAGGAAGTTAATGGAGGATGTAAAAAATTCATAAATCAAGAAATAGCAATGTAAGCACTGTATGTAAATCTTTCAGGTCGAGGCAAAAACAGGACGGGGCACAGTGGCTCATGCCTATAATCCTACACTCTGGGAGGCTGAAGTGGGAGGATTGCTTGAGCTCAGGAGTTCAAGACCAGCCTGAGCAAAAGTGAGACCATCCTGTCTCTACAAAAAATAGAAAAATTAGCCGGGCATGGTGGCACATGCCTGTAGTCCCAGCTACCTGGGAGGCTGAGGCAGGAGGATTGCTTGAGCCTAGGAGTGTGAGGTTGCTGTGAGCTAGGCTGATGCCATGACACTCTATCCCAGGCAACAAGACCCTGTCTCAAAAAAAATCAACAACACTGTTTAAGTAATTGCACAGCTTTTGTACGTGAATTGTTTGTAAAAACAAGCAGGCCTCTTTTGGTCTGATATCTGAAATATTTAGGGCATCTTCAGGTATTTGATCCATGTTCAGGTTTTTCCTGGGATTAGAGATGCTGCCTGACACATCACTTCTGCAAATTTTCCTGCTACTGGGCATGTGATGGCTGGATAGTAACACCTAGGGAGGCTGTGAGGTCCGAGCTTCTCCCTAATGGGGGGAATGGATTTTCATCTTTGACTGGCATCAGGAAATTACTCTTGTAGTGAATAAACAGTCAGGATAAAGCCCTTTCCGTAACTGCAGTGCACCAGGGAATGCCAATTGGGCAGAACAGAGGCAGCTCACTAGAGAACACAGTTCTCAAATTAGAGAGAGGCAGAAAGCTTCAGAGAAGGGAGGAGAGAGAAGGGGGTGAAGAGGGGAAGAGCAAAGGAAAAAGGAGAGAAAGAGAGGACAGAGGGAGAGGGAGGGAGCATTAGATGCTTCTGCCAGCATTTTTCTCCCCTCGTTGTCTCCTTCCATTTTACTGGACACCCTACATTGCCTTCTAGCTACTGGTTCCTTTCTCTCCTTCCCAGACCAGGCTTTTGAAAGAAGAGTCTCCACTTGGCTCTATTTCCTGCTCTCCAATTCATCCATCAGTCTGCTGAGGATTGGCTTCTGTGCCCCTAGCTCCCGAGGAGACCTCCTGTTTAAGTCTCCTGTGCCCTCCTAAGATGCCAGGGTCTCCCTGCTGCACTGTGGTCCTCAGCAAGGCTCTCTTGCCTTGGCTTCCATCAGCTTTCTTTCTCCTACTTCTCCAGCTCATTCTCCCTGCTATTTTTTTTCCCTCCCTCTTTTTTTTCCTTAGGATATTTTGATTTAGAATTACTTAATTGATCTATAACATTTTTTAAGCATGTGCTATGTGCCATTCACTGTAGAGGGAGTAGTCAATTCTGCTACCCTGCTAGGGGACAGGTTAAGAGAGGTCAGGAAAATCTGCCCAGACCAATCTTGTCCCCTCTTTTGTCCAGTGCTGTACTGTACCTCTCAGTGCTCATCTATCAAATAGTGTGCCAGCCAGGGTAGGACCAAGGAGGAAGTCAGCAGCCAGAGCACTGGCAGAGCGTCCATGTCAAACTACAGAATTTGAATTGCATAGACTCACCTCATTCAGGATGTCCTAGTGGGCCCATACCCACCTTTGACCTCTATCTATGTTGTTATGAATCATGTTAGTTCAGCCAACACCTATACTATAGATGGCCAAAAAATGTGGACTTTGCTCCAGAACCCCATCTAGAAACATAGGCATCTGTGAATGCTTATTTCAACACTACTTCTGATTGGTCTATATTTACAAATTGCTTTGGCTGCAATATCTCACTCAAACTACTGGGTCTCCTACCTGATCTCCCTGCCTTCAGCACACCTGTTTCATCTGTCCTCCACTGTCACTGTGAGACAGATCTTCCTAAAGCTAAATCTGGCCATCTTACTCTATAGTTCAATGTCTTCTAGTAGCACTCCTTCATTGCCTATTGGATAAGGTCCAGATTCCTTAGTTTGGCCTACAAGGCCCTTCATGATCTGACCTTCATTGTCTCATCCCCCATCTCTTCCTCTGTGTGTTCTGCACTGCAGCCCTGCAGAGCTGCTTGTGGGTATCAGGAAGTTTGTTCTACTCACTACTCCATTCATGTATACATTGCTACTATCTGGAATGTCCTTTCATCCTTGTCCACTTTTTGAACTCTTACTTATGCTATATGAAGTAATACCAAAATCATTGCTTCTGTGAAGCCATTTCTAACTTGGCAGGCTACGGGTAATCCTCCTTTGCAGCTTTCTGATACTGTGCATATACTTCTGTTATGGCACCTGTCACACTGTGCTGCATTTGTTTGGTCACCTCCCTGAGTCCCCTCCCTAGACTGTGGCTTCTTGATGGTAGGACAAAGTATTATCCTATACCAAGTCCCCAGTACTTAGTGCAATGCCTGGCACATAGTAAATACTGAATAGATATTACTTAAAGAAAAAGGGAAGAAATAAAATGAAAGCTGTTCTCTTTCTATTGTAGAAGGACGTACCCTCAACATGTGGCTGTACTTGGCAGCCCTTGTGGGCCTGTACTACCTTGTGCGCTGGCAGCGGGAGAGGCAGGTGGTGAGCCACCTCCGAGACAAGTACGTCTTCATCACGGGCTGTGACTCTGGCTTCGGGAACCTGCTGGCCAGACAGCTGGACATGCGTGGCATGAGGGTGCTGGCTGCGTGTCTGACTGAGAAGGGGGCCGAGCAGCTGAGAGCCCAGACGTCAGACAGGCTGGAGACGGTGACTCTGGATGTCACCAAGACGGAGAGCATCTCTGCAGCTGCCCAGTGGGTGAAGGAACACGTGGGAGACAGAGGTATGAAGTATTTTTCTCCTTTCATTTACTTAGGCATGAAGATGCTAAGGTCATATATACAGTTGTCCCTCAGTATCCATGGGGGATTAGTTCTAGGACTTCCTGTGGATACCAAAATTTGTAGATGCTGAAGTCCCTCATATAAAATAGCATAGTATTTGCATATAACCTATGCACATCCTCCCATATACTTTAAATCATCTCTAGATTACTTATAATACCTAATACAATGTAAATAATTGTTATGCTTTATTATTTAGGGAATAATGACAAGAAAAATAATTCTGTACATGTTCAGTACAGATGTAAATTTTTTTTTCCTAATATGTCCCATCCATGGTTGGTTGGATCCACGGATAGGAAGTGTCAACTGTATATATCAAAAGCAGGGTTTGAAAGGTGGGCTTTGTCATTTGAAAGACTGTCAAGATCTTTCGTGCTATTTCATTTCCCTAACAATGTTTACGTTCAAAAATGAGCTCAACAGATTTGAGGCCATTATCTCACCTGCTGCAGGTAGACTATTTATAAACACAATTCTTTATGTTTGAAGAATTTTCGAGGTGTTCTTAAGAAACTGATTCATCTTCCCTTGGTTGCTACTTGAAATATAGGCATTCCTTGAAGTCAGCCTTTGGTCCTTTTTTTAAAAAAATTTTTTCATTTCATTTTGTTTTTAAAAATGAATACACTATTTCTTCGAGTTTTAGGAAATTGACCAGAAAGTACAGAGTTTCTATATTTTCCCTCTACCAAGTTTGCCTGTATTAAATTTAATTAATTAATTAATTAATTAATTTTTTAGACAAGGTCTCGCTCTGTTGCCCAGGCTGCTGAGGATATGGCCTCTATGGTGTGCACACTTGCGTATTTTTATTGTATTGTCATTGTCTTCCCATCTGTTAGACTGTGAGCTCCCTGAGAGTATGGGCCTTTCTGAACTGTTACCATATTTCTAGCTTCCGGCACATGGCCTGGTACATGTTAAGGGCTCAACAAATGCCGAATGGATCCCATATACTCATAGTTTTATCTACTGCCTTTATGCCCTTGATATCTACATTCTCCCTTACTCCTCACACTTGAATTTCCAACAGCTTGCTGGATAATGTTACTATCCCTTCATTTACAAAGAATTGTTACCTCAGAGCCTTTTTCAATCCTTACACTTTCAATCTTTCTGTAGCTCCATATTTTATATGAATCTCTGGTAAGTAACATATAGTTGATATAAAAAATAATCCAGGAGGGGTTTTAAAGAGACAACTTGTGAAACATTTGATTGCCTTTTTTTCAGACCTTTACCTCTGTTACACAGGTACACACCACTTCACCTGGCTCCCGCCAGAGAGTTTTTATGTTTGCTTCTATCAGGTGCCTGGGAGCACTCAGAACACAGGGCCACCTTAAACTTAATTCTTGGCTTGAGGGTTTTTAGACCACCCAGGTAGTATGAATTTAGGCTGCAAATTCTCATAGGGAATGGATGATTCCTGGGGAGTGATTCTTACCCTTCTCTCCAACACCAAAGTTCAAGACAGATGCTTTTTGCCTGAAACCAAACTCTTCATTTGACTCTTTTTATTTTTAGGACTTTGGGGCCTGGTGAACAATGCAGGCATTATGCCCCCAATTACATACTGTGAGTGGCAGAAAACTGAGGACTGTGTGAATACCCTCAAAGTGAACCTCATTGGGGTGATCCAGGTGACCTTGAGCATGCTTCCTTTGGTGAAGAGGGCTCGGGGGAGGATTGTCAATGTCTCCAGCATTTTGGGAAGAATTGCCTGCATGTCTGGAATCTACTGTTGCTCCAAGTATGGGGTAGAAGCCTATTCGGATAGTCTGAGGTAACTTTTTTTTTTTTTTTTTTTTTTGAGACAGTCTCACTCTGTTGCCCAGGCTAGAGTGAGTGCCATGGCGTCAGCCTTGCTCACAGCAACCTCAAGCTCCTGGGCTCAAGCAATCCTTCTGCCTCGGCCTCCCGAGTAGCTGGGACTATAGGCATGCACCACCATGCCCGGCTAATTTTTTCTATATGTATTAGTTGGCCAATTAATTTCTTTCTATTTATAGTAGAGATGGGGTCTTGCTCTTGCTCAGGCTGATTTTGAACTCCTGACCTTGAGTAATCCTCCCACCTCGGCCTCCCAGAGTGCTAGGATTACAGGCGTGAGCCTCCGTGCTGGGCCTGAGGTAACACTTTTACGTTAAAACAAAACAACTGTTAAGCACTTGAATATGTCTTAGGCATTGTGCTAGTTGCCCTCACCTACCTTCTCTTTTTTCATCACTCCCCAAATCTTGAGACATAGATAATTTTTACTATTTTATATAGGAAACTGTTAAATAGTAAGTGACTGAAAAAGAGAGAGTCACACTCAACTGAGGCTTATTAAGCCAAGATTTTAAGGATGCACCCAGGAAAAGTACAGCCCACAAACACCTGTTGTGGACTGGGCTCTCTGTAGAAGTTGAGGATTTTGCATTTAAAGGAAATAGGGGTTGCACAGGAAAAAGCGAGTGGTGAAAGAGGTGAGCAGTGAGGCAATTGATAGTATTCTTGTGAATTTCTATTTGGTGCCCAGTAAATCTACCTAAGATAAGATGAACATTCATGAAAAGGGGTAGAGGAAGTAGTTAATGTTGTGAATCTTCTCACAGTGGGTAGGCGAGGGATCATATCTCTCCCTTGGCTTACATTTGTGGAGATAAGCTTGAAATCGACATTTAAGAGTTCATTCAGGCTACAGTCCTAAGATTATAATTGACATGTACTCATTTTATGGGGGCTATATCTAAAAGGTTTTTTTTTTTCTTTTTCTTTTTTTAGGGCTGAAGGAAGTAAGAAATATTTTAACCCAAAATACACTTCTTTGTCACATTTTGAGGTAGCTAGGCAAACAGGAATATGCTGCAAGGCTGACTAGGTCGGTAGGCTGGGGGAGAGATTTGCATTTGCAATTCTCTCTGTTAAATGCAGCCAGGCCTTGCCTATTAGATCTGGGATGGGTCTGAATAGAGTCTAGCGCCCTTAAAGGTCCAAATAAAAACGTTTCTTTGAGGGTTGTTACCATGAGGTTTATCTGCACAACAAGACCACTTTGCCAGCCAGGTTTCTTTTCTCCCTCCCATACCCAGTCCAAAGAGAAAAATCCTGTTTAGACTGAAGGAGCTCAGGATGTTTCACCCCAAAATGTGACTCTTTGTTCTAAAGAGTATTTTGAATTAAAAGGCCTTAGAAATCAAAAGGCCTTGGAAGGGGCTTTCCCTCTATCTGCATAACCAAATGGACCCATCAAAAGAACAGTAGACTTCCCTTCCCCTCCCTGTTATCTCAATATATTACAGGAAAGAAGATCAAGAATGCAACTAGACCTGACCCAAATCATTTTATTTTATTTCATTTTTTTTTGAGACAGAGTTTTACTCTGTCACCCTAGGTGGAGTACAGTGGTGTCGTCATAGCTCACTGCAGCCTCAAACTCCTGGGCTCAAGCAATACTCCTACCTTAGCTTCCTGAGTAGCTGGACTACAGATGTGTGCCACTATGCCCGGCTAATTTTTTGTTTTCTGTAGAAATGGGATCTTGCTGTGTCGCGCAGGCTGGTCTTGAACTCTTGGTCTCAAGTGATCCTCCTGCCTTGTCCTTCCAAAGTGCTAGGATTACAGGTGTGAGCCACTGTACCAGCTGCTTCTTTCCTTTATAATTCGTACATACATATATATATATATTTATTATTATTATTTTTTAAAGAGATGGGGCCTCGCTATGTCACCCAGGCTGAAGTGCAGTGGCTACTCACAGGCACACTCATAGGGACAACAGCCTTGGACTCCTGGGCTCAAAGGATCTCCTGCCTTAGCATTTAGGGCCTACTCAGGTAATCCAGGCTAATCTGCCTATCGCAAGATTCTTAATTTAATCATTTCTCCAAAGCCTTTGCCACATAAGGTAACATTTACATGTTCCAGGGATTAGTACTTTATATCTTTGGGAGCCATTACTTAGCTCATCACATACCAAGACTGGCATGTGAGTGTTATAGTTTGCATGTCATATTACCTGCCTAGGAAGGAAACAGGGACATAGGCAAGGAAATTACATAAGTTGTTACCCCGTGGCAGGCATCTCACCTGGCTTCTTGCCAATCCAACGTTTGATCACACCGAGCTGCTGGCCACTGATTTATCACCACCTAGGACTGATCTCTTGGACTCCTTGCCTCTTTCCTAGACTGAGAGCAAAGATCTATCATTCCAACATTCAAATCACTATTTAATTCCTTTAGAAAATACAAGTTCTCCCTAGTGCTAAGGATAAACAAGGAAAGGAATTTTTTTTGTTTTTTTTTTTTTGAGACAGAGTCTCGCTTTGTTGTTGTGTGGTAAGGATCAGAGTGAGAAAACCCAAGGGGAAGTGAAATTTAGAGGAGCAGAGTCACTTCTGGCTTGCATAGCCCTCTCCTCTTCTCCTGGACACATGGACACCTGAAGACTCTTTTCTGAAACTCTAACCTTGAAGGTTTTAGGTTTTGCTTTGATAACGGAGGCTTTTCCTTTAGAACAGTGGTTCTTAAACTCTAGCATGCCTGCAGAGTATACTCTACTGTGGTGTGCAATGGCATCTTACTTCGTTTGGGGTAGCACTTAATACACTTAAAGGCAGCACTTACTACAGTGCCTAGCACATAGTCAGCCCTTGATACATATTTTTGGAACTGTTTGTTGAATTAATCTGAATATTCTGGAATGACCATTGACTTGTAATTTTAATGCTCACATCATATATCATTAATGATCTCTTGTAGTCTTTGAACACACTGTAATTTTCCATGGGCCTGTGCTTTTGCATGTGAAATTCTCACTGCCAGATTTGCCACTCTTCCTTTTTTCTTCACTTGGAAATTTCCACTCTCTACTCTAAGGCTCAATTGAAATGTTATCTCCTCACTGAAGCCTTCCCTGATTCCCTCAGAAAATCTATCTGTGTCTTTCTCTGTACTTTAATAGCCCCTTGAATACTTCTCCTTTATAATTCTTTTGAGTTGTATTACAATTATTCGCTTACTTGTTGGACTTACCTGCTGTGAGTTTTTTGAGATGAGGAACTGAGTTTTAATTGTGCATGTAAAACACTTAGCACAGAGCCTGCCATAATATATGCTAATTTTATTTATCACTCCTTTTTTTTTTTTTTTTGAGACAGAGTCTTCGATTTGTTGCCTAGGCTAGAGTGAGTGCCGTGGCATCAGCCTAGCTCACAGCAACCTCAGACTCCTGGGCTCAAGCAATCCTCCTGCCTCAGCCTCCCAAGTAGCTGGGACTACAGGCATGTGCCACCATGCCACGCTCATTTTTTCTATATATATTAGTTGGCCAATTAATATCTTTCTATTTATAGTAGAGACGGGGTCTTGCTCTTGCTCAGGCTGGTCTCGAACTCCTGACCTCGAGCAGTCCGCTGCCTCGGCCTCCCAGAGTGCTAGGATTACAGGCGTGAGCCACCGTTATCACTGCTTTTCTCTCTCATGCCTCTGGTGTCTAGCCTATGGTAAGTACTTAATAACTGTTTATTAAAAGAGTGATTGCATACACAGGACATTGATCCATACATGATAAAAATGAAAAGTAATAAGAAATTTAAAATTTTAAATTAATAATAATAAAAAAAGAGTGATTGCAGAATTGAATGGTTAGGGTAGTTAGTATAATGATGTCTCAGTTGTTGAACCTAAGGATGTTTAAATTTTTATTTTTTCTTTCCATTTCTTTATCCTTTAAAGTATTCAGGAAAGTTATTTTAATAATCTTGTAATAACCTTTTTTGTTTTGTTTTTCCCTCCCTGAGACATTGACATGGTGATGTCTTTCAATAAAAGAATTAACTTGAGAAATTTTATTTCAGGCGTGAGCTTCAACATTTTGGCGTGAAAATCAGCATAATTGAACCTGGTTACTTCAAAACAGGAATGACAGACATGAACAAGACCTTAGAGAAAATGAAGCAAACCTGGGAAGAAGCCCCTGAACATATTAAGGAGTCCTATGGACAGCAGTTTTTTGATACCTGTAAGCTTTTTTCTTTTGATAGGGATAATGAGTACCCTTGCATGAGAAGGAGAAAAGAGGGTTGGTGGACAAATGACAGATCCTCTGAGAACAAAGACTCTTTCTTTTTTATTATTATTTGTATTTAAAAGAGGTTTGTTCTGAGTCGAATATGTGGGACCATGTCCCCCAGCCATGCCCAAGCAGCCTTGAGCAAGTGGTCCCTGAGAACAAAGAATCTAACACAAAATCTTGCCAGGACAGAAGGAGATCAAGAAGGTCCTAATGCTCTGGTGGCCAGTGTGGTTGAGGAAGGGAACATATAGGCAGCCTGGGGCCAGGGTCTTCCCTGCCCTGTTAGTTGAGGGCCTGGCCACCTAAGCTTTGGGAGGTGATACATACCTGGAGGCATGGAAGCTCTGGGTCTTGAGAGGGGGTGTCCCTTGATAGTTTGGCAGGGGTGGTGTGCGATGTCTGCTCAGCGAAAGCACAGTCTTCATTGTTGTTTACCCTTTTAGTACAAAGGGCCTGCCACAAACTATGCGTCGTATTATGACAGGAGAGAGAGTAGGCTGGAGGAGGTAAGTGGGAGAGGACAAGGTTTGCAGAGCCCTATCGGCCATTCCCAAAGACTAGACCTCTCAAGTGCAGGCCATAGGAGCCTTTTGGGAGTGAGATTGTTCAATTTCATGTAATAACATCATTCTGATGACCAGCCTCCTCCTCCTCCGGCAGTGGCATGGGTTGGAGTCAAGGCAGTCATCTTAGTAGAAGTAAGCCAGGCGTGCTGGTGTGGGGCTGCACCTCCCTGGGGGGATTCTTTTTCTTCACACAAAGATGTCAGCAACTTGCCCAGCCTGAAGGGAGATGCTCTCTTTTCTATTTCACCAAAAGGCAGTGGATAGCCACAGTCCTGTCACTGGCTTTGGGTGATATACTAGGCCAGAGAAAAGGAGAAGGTGCAGATGGAAGATTCTCAGCCTCCAGCCCTGTCTTCTGGGTGTACCAGGCCTAAGAGGGTCGCCATCAACAGAGGGGAGAGGAGTTGGATTAGGCAAAGGCTGACAAGACAGTGCCTGAGCCTTTCAGAACTCAACCAGTTGGGGAACTACGGTTCCCCATGTGCTAGAGTCGGCTGTTGTTATAAGCTCCTCATCTGAAGTTTTCAGCTATTAGGGAACTTTTTTCCCTTTGTGGGTACATGTAGTTTAACAGTAGAAATCAATGGGAACCTAGAATTGACTCTGAGGTAACCATACATAAAAGGTAGGATATATGTATTTTCTAATTTAAAAGGAATCGAAATGGTTTATATATTTGTCCATGGATCAGAACAATCTAGATCAGTGCTGTCTGATAGAAATATGGTGAGAGCCACATACGTTATCTTAGATTTTCTAGTACCTATATTAAAAGAAGGAAAAAGAAACAGATAAAACTAATTTTAATAATATATTTAATTTTATCTAATATATCCAAAATACTATAATCTCAACATTTATTATAAATATAAATGCTCTTAATAAGATATTTTATATTCTTTTTTCTGTTAGTCTTTGAAAATTGGTTTGTGTTTTACACTTGCAGCACCTCTTAACTTGAATGCTAAATTTTCCTAGGAAATACTATATTTGTATTATTCAGATTTAATAAAATTTACAGTTGCCAGCATGTTATTAATAATAGCCCCAAAGTAGAAATAACCCAAATGTCCATCAACTGATGAATGGATAAACAAAATGTGATAAGCCGTAAGTTGGAAAGTTATTAATATTTGGCAACCAAAAGGAGTGAAGTACTGATACATGCTATAACATGGATGAACCTTGAAAACATTTGCTCAGTAAAGGAAGCCAAGTCACAAGAAACCACAATGTATGATTCCATTTATGTGAAATGTCCAGAAAAGGCAAATCCCTAGAGGCAGCAAATAGATTACTAGTTGCCTGAGCTGGGGGTGTGGGAATTGGTGAGAAATGGAAATGATCTCTAATGGGTACAGGGTTTCTTTTGGGGACGATGGAAATATTCCAGACTTAAATGGTGATGATGGTTACACAACTCTGAATATATTAGAAACCATTCATTCACATACTTTATTTTTATATTTTTTGAGACAGAGTCTTACTTTGTTGTCTAGGCTAGAATGCTGTGGCATCAGCCTAGTTCACAGCAATCTCCAACTCCTGGGCTCAAGCTATCCTCCTGTCTCAGCCTCCGGAGTAGCTGGGACTACAGCCGTTCACCATCACACCTGGCTAATTTTTTGTTATTGTTTCTATTTTTAGTTGGCCAGATAAATTTTCTGTTTTTAGTAGAGACGGGGTCATATTCTTGGTCAGGCTGATCTTGAACTCCTGCCCTCAAACAATCCTCCCACCTTGGTCTCCCAGAGTGCTAGGATTATAGGCATGAGCCACCAAGCCTGGCCCATATACTTTAAATGACTGAATTTTATGATATATAAATTATATCTCAATAAAGATGATAAAAAATTTCCAGTTGGAAAAGTAGATTCACATACACCTGTGTCATTCCAAACATACTTAAAAGTTTCTGGTAACAGAGTGTAGCATGATAGATAATGGAGACTTGGAAGAGTGGTGGGAGTGGGAGGCAGGTGGATGATGAAAAATTACTTAATGGGTACAAGGTATATTAATCCAGTGATGGATACACTAAAAGTCCTGACTTAAGCATTATGCAGTATATCAGTGTAACACAATTATACTTGTACCCCACAAATTTATACCAATAAAAATTTAAAAAACTCTTCTAATAATGGAATTGAATTTTAAAATTAAAATTAATTAAAATTAAATACAATTAAAAATTCAGTTTTCAGTCACAGTAGCTACATTTTAAGAGCTCAATAGCTACATGTGTCTGGGCTCATGCCTGCAGTCCCAACACTGAGAAGCTGAGGCAGGATGATTGCTTCAGGCCAGGAGTTCAAGACCAGCCTGGGCAACATAGCAAGATGCCATCTTTACAAAAAATAGGAAAAATTAGCCAGGAATGGTGGTACATGCCTGTAATCCTAGCTACTTGGGGGACTCAGGCAGGAGGATGGCTTGAGCCCAGGAGTTTGAGGCTGCTGTGAGCTACGATTGCTCCACTGCACTCCAGCCTGGGCAATAGAATGAGACCCAGTCTTTAAAAAAAATAAAGCTACATGTGGCTAGTGGCTATCATATTGGGAAGCACAGTCTAAATTGTCTTAAACTAGGCTGGCTGGGGTGGCTCATGCCTGTAATCCTAGTACTCTGGGAGGTCGTGGGCGGATCATTTGAGCTAAGGAGTTATCTACTAAAAAAAAAAAAAAGATTGTCTTAATCCTTGTAGAAAATAAACATGGTTAGACTTCTGTGACTACATGCCAGAGGATTTAAAAATATGAGGGGGAGTAAGATTGTTGACCATCGTTTCTCTTTTTGCTTACAGTTTACCATGGTATCAAACAAGGTCTGTTGGGACCTTGCACAAACCTGAACTATGTTACTGACTGCATGGAACACGCTCTGACATCTGTGCATCCTCGTACTCGATATTCAGCTGGATGGGATGCTCAATTTTACTTCATCCCTTTATCTTATTTACCTACATCACTGGCAGACTATATAGTGACTCGATCTTTGCCCAAACCAGCCCAAGTAGCATAAAAAAACTGGTTTGGTGGCTCTGGGAATGAAGATAAAAGTCAATTAGTTGTTAGTGTCTTAGGAATCCTTATTTAGAACCCAAAATTTCTGTCACAATAATCTTTCTTGCCTAAACTCATTTATCTGACATTATCAGAGAACCAATATGTTTATATTTCAGATATTCAAGGCTAACTACTTTAGGTGATTTATCTTTATAATTTTGACCATTTTTTTACAAGAATATTTCAAGAATGAATCATTCTTTCTTTCCCTATCAAACAGAGTAGAGTGAGAACAATTTAACTTGTTTGGGTGTCATTTATTTATGTATATGAATTGTTCATAACCTGTTGCTCAGAGACTACTGAGAAATATATGGGTCTGTTTATCCTTACTTGAACTGGGTCAGTACTATGGTGCTTTTAATAAATAATTGATTTTTCTTTTTCTTCTTTTTTTGCCAGCTGTCATTTTTTTCAATATATGTCTTCCTCATTTAAAAAGAAATGATTTTTAATTTTTAAATCAAAATAATGTCCACATACATAGTCAAAAATTCAATTAATGTTCAAAAGCTTAAAGTGACAAACAGCAGTCCCTCACCCTTGTCCCCATCCTTCATTGCTGCTCATCAGAGGCAAATGCTCTTAACTTTCGCCTATTTCTGGTATTTACTTCTGCATTTCCAAATAATATGCTTATACTATCTAAAAAATTTATTAATCTTAGACATTTTCTATTGGCTTTCTCTTACAATAAATGCAAATTTAGCTTTCTAAACCATTTTCTTGCCCACTTCCTTTATCCTTGTATTTTTAATATAGTTTTATCACATTTTTGGTTAAATTAATAGTGTTTATATTATTAAGTATGTGAATATTGTATACTTTTTTTGTTTTGGAGACAGAGTCTCACTCCATCACCCCAGGTATAGTGCAGTGGCATCATCATAGCTCATGCAACCTCCGACTCCTGGACTCAAGCAATCTTCCTGCCTCAGCCTCCTGAGTAGCTGGGACTACTAGTGCATATCACAATACCAGGCTAATTTCTCAATTTTTCATGGAGATGGTGTCTTGCTCAGGCTGGTCTTTTTTTTTTTTTTTTATTTTAGCGTATTATGGGGGTGCAAGTGTTCAGGTTACATATATTGCCCATGCCCCCCTCCCCCCCAGGCTGGTCTTGAACTCCTGACCTCCAGCAATCCTCCCCGCCTCAGCCTCTCAGAGTGCTAGAATTACAGGAGTTAGCTACCTTGCCTGGCCTGTTTACTGTTTATTCAAGTATTTTTCCTTTATAATAACATTTTTTGTTTTTCTGGGAGTTAATGATTGCCTTGCTTTTTCGCTTGCAAAGTTTTTTTCAATTGTTCTCTCAGCTCTTTGGGAACACTACCAGTACTATATTCCAGGTAGTTAAATAGATTATAGAATTCTCCATTCTCCTTTCCTGGCCCTGCAGATCTCTCTCTTGCAGCTTTCTCCTATTTCTGTATGGGGTGGTTTGATCTCCAGTTCTGCTTTTCAGTTATTTTCCTAGGACTCCCGTTCATCTTTCCTTTTGTCTGATCCTCTATTTCCTGGAGCATATGGCCTCTTGGTTTTCTCCCTTATTTTGACATAACTCATTCTTACTAGTTTTCTAAGTCTTTGCCTGTCTGAAAATGTCTTTATTCTCATAATAGATTGGTTGAGTATAGACTTCGAGGGCTCCGCTTGCTTGCTTGCTTGCTTTCTTTCTTTCTTTCTTTCTTTCTCTCTTTCTTTCTCTCTCTCTCTCTTTCTCTCTCTCTTTCTCTCTCTCTCTTTCTCTCTTTCTTTTCTTCTTTCTCTCTCTCTTTCTCAGAGTCTCGCTTTGTTGCCCAGGCTAGAGTGAGTGCCGTGGCATCAGCCTAGCTCACAGCAACCTCAAACTCCTGGGCTCAAGTGATCCTTCTGCTTCAGCCTCCCAAGTAGCTGGGACTACAGGCATGCGTCACCATGCCCGGCTAATTTTTTCTACATATATTAGTTGGCCAATTAATTTCTTTCTATTTATAGTAGAGACAGGGTCTTGCTCTTGCTCAGGCTGGTTTCCAACTGCTGACCTCGAGCAATCTCGCCTGCCTTGGCCTGCTAGGATTACAGGTGTGAGCCTAGCAGGCCGAGGCGGGCGGGATTGCTCGAGGTCAGCAGTGTCCCTGTTCTATGGAAGCTTTTAGACTCTTTTTATTTAGAAGATAAATACTTATTTGTTTTTTTTGCAATCTTTATCTTTTATTGTATTTGGTCTAAAATTTCAGAATAACAGATGTAGGGATAGACCTTTTATTCAATAATTGTGCTGGGTTCTCAGCATAAGTCATGATGTAGGAAAGAGATTGGAGAATTGCTGACATGATGGCAAGAAGGTGAGGAAGGATTGGGTTTTGTGCACAAATGTAAGGCTTGGCTTCAGACAGTGCCATGACTTAAGTAAGAGCTTTTTCTCTTAAGTGATAGTAAGTTGGTACATGGGTGGTCATTGGCATTTTTTTCAGTAGCTCATCTATGTCAGGGTTAAAATCTATGTGCATCTTTTGGCCTTTTCCTCTAGCTCGTCGCCTCAAAGTTTCAAGATGGTTGCTGCAGATCCAGACATCACATAAGTTTTCAAGTGACATGGTATACATCAACCTAAATAGCAAACGGAGAGACTGTCTAAAATAAAATGATGTTTATTAGGGAATGGAACATTGCAATGGGAGTACATGTGCCATAGTCCACTCTGCATATTCAGGGAGGTAAAGGAAGACAAAGGTTTTTAAAGGAAAAAAATCAGGAGGATTACATAATTGTTTTGAAATAATTATCCTTGGCTGCAAGGATCAATAACAAGGGGGACACCAGTCTGAGGTCATACAGGCAGTTGTCCTTGCAAAAGTATTTTTTGTGTAAGGTTGTGATGGCTTTTGCACATGGTTATGATTTTTCCAGAGTCTTTTTTGTTATTAGAAATACAAACACAAGAATCTTCTCTTCATGGCCTTCCTTGGCTCTATTTGTTAGGGATTTTTTTTTTTTTAAACATTAGGTGGCTCCATTTTGATTCTGTCAACTTTCACACAAGATAGAATGATGGTATAAGGGAGGATAGTGATGTCTGTATCTATCCTCTTCTATGAGGAGAGTGAAATATTTCTCAGAAATCTCCACTGCAGAATTTTCTTTATGTAGAGTGGCCATATAAATTATTGCCTAAAGTGGGTCACTTCTGAGAGTGAAAGGAGGCACTATTAATAATTTACACAGAACCCTGATTTGATCTTTACATATTATATGAATATATCAAATTATCACATGTGCTTCCAAAATATATACATCTATTATATAGCAATAAAAATGGAAGAAAAAAATTTACACAGGGACAAAAATAAACTAGAACTATGTCAGATAATTGGGACATCTGGTCACCATACTTCAATGCAATACCATTATCTAATCTTTAGTTCTTATATAAATTCTGCCAATTGCTCCAAAACATTCTACATAGCAATTAAACATTTTTTTTTCCAGGATCCAATACAGGATGACACTTTGCATTTGGTTGTCATGTTCCTGTACTCATTTAATTTAGGATAGCTTCTTAACTTTGTTTTTGGTTTTTTAGGATTCTGACATTTTTGAGGCAAGAGTATTTGGCAGAAACGCCACAGAAGTGATATTGTGTCCCTCTCAGTGCATTTTGTCAGTAGATGTAGGTGCCAGTTAATTTCATTATTGGTATGTTAATTTTGAATCCATGGAGTCTGCCATGTTTCTCCACTGGTAAATTAATATTTTTCCTTTTTAATTAATAAATAATTTGTGAAAATACTTTGAGATAATGTAAATGTCCTGTTCCTCATTAAACTTTTACTTTTTTTTTTTTTTTTTGAGACCGAGTCTCACTCTGTCGCCCAGGCTATAGTGCAATGGCATCAGCCTAGCTCACAGCAAACTCAAACTCCTGGGCTCAAACGATCTTCCTGCCTCAGCCTCCCAAGTAGCTGGGACTACAGGTCCAAGCCACCACTCCCAGCTAATTTTTTTCTGTTTTTAGTAGAGATAGGGTCTCACCCTTGCTCAGGCTGGTCTCTAACTCCTGAGCTCAAGCGATCCTTTTGCCTCGGCCTCCCAGAGTGCTAGGATTACAGGCATGAACCATCATGCCTGGCCCCTCATCAAACTTTAAGAAGCTAATTTTAGAATTGTTAATGATTCTTATCTAAATCAGTTATTACTATGATGGTTGCAAACAGTGATTTATAACTCTCTCATTCCATCTATTATACATTTTTGAATTGACATTCCATCCCCTTCTAGTTTTTATTTATTATACGAATAGGCTCATGAATTCTTATTTTATTCAGTTAATCAGAAAGAAGCCATTTCTGGCATTATGTGTTGAAGCAAATCTCAGACATCATATAGGAACTGTAATTTAAAAAATGTTACCACTTGCAATAGCAACAACAGAAATATAAGGTACCTAAGAACAAATATGACAGAAAATGTGTATTTTTTATTTTTTTGAAGAGAAGGAAAGGGAGATTTATTAATTTGCTGGCAAATGAAGAAAATGGCAGACTCCTGTCTTAAAGTACTAATTTTTCTAACTATAAGCAGAAATATGGAGCTTTTAAAGGGAGGGCTTTCAACTTCAGGTTATTGCTGTTTAACTATAGTTGATAATTCTGATCTGTCCTATTTACAGCAAAGACAATCTGGTGGCCTCTGCCTGGACTATTCCGTTGAGCCATCTCCTGTGGTATAAGAATGAAGGGCACTCCCCTGCCTCTTTGGACCAGTGGCCTGAGGCAGGGATGCAGGTTTTAATTCCCAAAAAGAGTAGGGGATGTTTTAAAGAGATAACTTGTAAAACATTTTTTACCCTTTTTCAGGTTGTTCTGTCTGTTGCATACTCTCCACTGTCAATTTTATCCTTTCATATCTATGGGAGGCAGGCCAACGTAGTCACTGAGCTACTTCTTGCTGTACTGGAGCAATGTTTCAGATGGAAGGTTTATACTTATTTATGCCATTGTAAAAATATAGGGCTGGGTAAGAAAGAAACATGGGACCTTTGAGTGCAGAGCTTTTGGTTGCACCCTGTAGGTGATATGAGAGACCAGGTTCTGCAAATTCAGGAATCATATACAGAAATACTTGCACCAAATGAGATTTAGGATGACAAACTCAGCAGCAAGACAGATTAACAGTAGAGATAACCTAGGAAATACTCAATAAGAGTTGTCTCTACATCCTATAAATGGAACAAATAATTAAAGAAAAGTTAGTGAAAATATCAATATTTTCGTTTTCCCTTCTTGTTAAACAGATACTTTAGATTGCCTAAAGGCTGGCCTCTCCACTGGGGGCTTGGGTACTCTTCTTCCAGGGGACACCTCTTTACTTTGGTATGATGGACAGAATGGAGAGCTGAGACATGTATG